TACTTATTACTTACACACATAACAATAATACATAGGACTTGTGAATTATGGGAATTATTCACAAGACAAGAGAACAAAGCACAGCTTCACATGTGCATAAACAGCTACAGCGGACCCTCGACTTACACACGACTCGACGTGCGTGCTTTTCAAGGTACTGACTTATCCGGTCGCAAAATTTCCCATCAACTTGCGGCCGGAGAATTGACCTATGGAACAGAAGGGGGAGGCAGGGAAAGCGCTAAATTCAAATTTGGCGCTTTCGCTGCCTCCCCCTTCCAGTCCGTAGGCCGCCAATCGTGGCTCCGGATGCCTTTCAGGGCTTCTCAACCACCATGGGAGGCATCTTGGAGGTCCTCCCTGCCACCGATCATGCTTCGGAGGCACAACCAGCGGCGGGGGGGGACCTCCGAGATGCCTCCCATGGTGGCAGAAAAGCCCTTGAAGGCATCCGGAGGTCCCCCCCTTTGGAGGCACAATCGACGGCAGGGGGGGACCTCTGGATACCTTCCAGGGCTTCTCCGCCACCATGGGAGGCCTCTCGGAGGTCCCCCGTCCTCGACGATGCAGGCTTTCCCAGGGTGGACTGGGCCTACCAGGGGAAGGCTTCCCCCGGTAGGCCCAGTCTACTCCCCAGGAAAGCCTGGCAGGGAAGACCTCAGGCAGCGGCGATGGCGGTGGCGGGGGACCCCTGAAGGCTTCGGACCGGTAAGGTGTTTATTTTAATTTTTTTGTGTGGGGGATATTTTTTTCTTAGGCCATATGGATTACAGGGTTTTCAATGCATTGTTATGGGAAACTGACCCTCAGCCTACGGACTTTTCAACCTGCAGCCACCGTTCCAATACGGATTAATTCTGCAGGTCGAGGGTCCACTGTATCCTTTAACAAATGATATGCTCAATTTAGTCAAGAATACAGATCTTGACTTGTGGCAATCTTTTCTAGGATTTCCTTATCGTAGGGTACCTGGGTATAGTTTACCATTCCCTTCTCCTGGGTGCGCTCTGGGACTATGTAGCTCACCCAAGGTCTCACAGGCTGGCTGATCTCCCAGGAGGCACAGTTTTAGGCTCATGGAAACCTTTGGGAGAAAAAAAAGCCCTTGACCTCTTTTTCTAAAACAGATCCTAAAATTATCAGCTGCATCTGTGGTGGCTTCTGGGAACACAGCTGATTATTTATTTCAAGTGAGCACCACTGGGGGTAGGGAAGGCAGGGAGGCTTCGAAAAAGGCACTAGGAGCCATATGTGGCCAACAGGCCACACTCTGTTCAGTACTAGCTTACAGTGATTGTGTTTTTCTGTAAAAATGGCTGGAAGCTCTCATTTGGCTATGACTTTCCAATGTAAATGCCCAGATTTTTTTAAAAAGATGTGTGGCTTCCATTTTTCTTTACTACATGTGTTACACCAGTGAACCTGTATTAAAATGCACAGCATACAGCCTTTTTGTTTTATACAGAAGTCTTGGTTCTTATTTAGTATGAAATGATACAATTTATGTATGCACTGCATTTATCTTTAAGGCAAAATACAAAATCTGCAAATAAGTACCAAAATTCAAGCACACTTTGTTATAAGCAAGTAGCATCAAAATAAATGGGACTTATATCTGTGCATATAACCTATTTATAGTGGTGAATTCGGAACTTATTTGTAGCTCTGGACAGCTAATCCCACTTAATCATGCATTTTTGACTGGGGATTTTGACTGCATTAGGGATACAGAGGCAATCATTAATGGTAACATGTCCAAACTGGCAAAAAAAAGTCTTGCAGAACAAATTTAAGTATAATACGTGGGCGAACAGCATAAGACTTTTTTTCTTTTTAAACTATTGCAATATGCTACTTTCTCCAAGGGTTTTATAATTAACAATTTACATCTGAGAACGCAGAAATGCAGAAGGTTATTAAGCAGCAGCTTCCATTATTAAGTAATACTCTTGGAAAATTTGTCAAACTTCAAGTGAAGAAAGTGCGGAGCTTGGAAAGGTTATCTTTGATGGACTAGATCTGTCGGAATCTCACAACCAGCACAGGCAGTGACCACACTGGCATCTGATCTATTTCTAAAATGATCATAGCTCAATGGCCAGGCACAATGTCTGCAGGCAGGTTTCTGGTTCCATTCTTGGACTCTCCAGTTAAAGGATAGCACAGGGCAAGACTATCCAGTGTGGTTTAATGGCTACAGGGACAGCTTGGGACTCAGGAGTCCTGGGCTCAAATCTGTGCATTGCCATGGAAACTCACAGGAAGTGGGGTGGGATAAAACTGCTCCTTGAAAATCTTGTGTACCTTGAAAACTCTGTTAGGGTTGCTCTAAATCACTGGTTCTTAACCTTGGGTTACTCAGGAGTTTTGGACTGCAACTCCCAGAAGCCTTCACCACCAACTGTGTGCTAGCTGGGGTGTCTGGGAGTTGCAGTTCAAAAACATCCGGGTAACAAAGGTTAAGAACCACTGCTCTAAATCATTGGTTCTTAACCTTTGTTACTCGGATGCTTTTGAACTGCGAATCCCAGAAACCCCAGTCAGGACAGCTGGTGGTGAAGGCTTCTGGGAGTTGCAGTCCAAAACTCCTGAGTAACCCAAGGTTAAGAACCAGTGCTCTAAATCACATGCAACTTGAAGTCACATAACACACACACACATGTGCAGAACAGAACTAGGCAAGGCCATTTTTTACCTGGACCAACAACTGGCTAACTGACTGTGAAGTCTAAGCTAGTACAAGGTGGCTTCATAATCAGGTGCTTAGTAAGAGCAAGTAAAGTTCCCCAGAAACACAGTTTATTGAACCAATACTGTGAGCCCCCTCTAAATGCTAACAATAAGGTATTAAGAGTATTCTCTGGCACACACTCAGGTTGTGTGTGATACAGTCCAACATGCTTAATCATCACCTAAAGTCACACCTTCAAAATTTCCAAAGGTTCTTCAGTAAATTTCCATGAAAACATCCTCAGAAGGTTGAAAGCATATTAACAATTACTGTTAGCAAAAGGATGTTGAACCATTCATTTGCCATCAGGACTTCAGAGGAGAAAATCTGGAATACAATGCCTATGAATAAAATTACCAATAATAAACATCAGTGGGAGTATAAGATTCAGAGACCTAATAGGATTCCATCTGCACAGAAGCAGAACTGGTACAGAGCTGAAGAATAAGTAAGTACCACTACACTAAAACTAATTTAACTTTTATTTGACTACTAGGATTCATTTATATTCACCAGTTATTTATCTACATACCTATATTTGGATTCTGATCACTTAATTTGAAAATTTAAAATCAAGAACTGTTTTGAGCCTTTGGAACAGGTGTCAAAAGGAAAGAGTTTCAGCTATTATTTAATAGATGCTTATGTAATTCTACAAAATAGGATTAATTTTTGAGACTTACATAAATCATATTCCCTGCAATTCAGAAGGATTCATTGCAACTCTAAATACATGAAAGAATGGAAACACTCTTGGCAGGGAGAGGAGATAAATATTTAACAAGTTGGGGGGTCTTTACTGCTACTGAATATACACAGATGTGTATTACTTTAAATATGTATGAGTGAAATATCTGTCTAATAGAAATAGCAAGGTAACTGTACTGAGTGGGTGTGAGGCATTCAGGGTCTATTTTGAGCCCTTCCACAGTTCTACTATTATGAGATGGATGTTCACTTCCTCATTCTGTATAGTTCTGTATCTTTACTTTTCCATTTGTGGGTGGAGGAGAGGAATTACAATTACTTTTCCACTAAGAATCTAGATGTGTCTATAAAGTGGCTTATAAATTCCTGACAGGAATGGCATCTACCAGGACTAGAATAAAAGGTCTACCTGTTTCTTTAAGCATAGAATGGAAACTTCCACAGACCTAAAGGCCAATTTTCACTCTGGGACCCATGACTGGGTGAAAATGAGCTATAGTCAATTTTAATGGCGCAGCAATGGGGGAGAGCTATCTTTTGAAATACTTTTGGCTTTTAAAAAAGGTGTGCCCATCACACACTCCTTGCTTTAAAATAAAAAACTTTTAAATACATCTTTTTATGCCTGTGACAGTAGTGGGGCAACTAGATCTGAAAAAAATGGGAGGAGGGGCCACATGCAGTCTAAACAGTGACCATGCCTTCTGTATATACTTCCAAACTCAGCTAGGCAATGATGTACTGTAAGGGGCCATGGGCTCCAGAACAGTTTGGCTGCAGTGAATCTAGCATTTGTGGTTGGAGAAACTGGCCCTTAGTCTATGCTATTAAATTCCAAGTGCAGCTGTGCTGTTTTAGAAACATAATACACACACACACAAACAGAGGGAGGTGGGTGGGTATATCTGCAAATAATCCAGGCATTTGTCATATGATTCAAAATCATCTCCAATTAAAATAATGCACAAGTTGTGCCAAGAGAACCCAATTTAGACCATTGTTGCTGTTGCTTTCTGAAATTATACACTGTTTTCTCACCTGGCTCCAGCCTGTGGTGCATCCTGCAAAAGACATCCTACCTTTTCTCCAAACCCTGCTCAGAAAGTTCTGCAGTTTAAGTGTCAATAACCTATCTGAATAGGAGACTGGGAATCTGGACACAGGCAGAATGCCACACATAAAATCTGTGAGCATCTTCAGCAGCATAACTGACACCAAAACAAGATTTTTTTAAAAATATGATCTGGTTATTAAATTGTGCAGGTCAGAAGCTGGGCAAATAACTAATCTACATGCCCTCATTCTCTCTTCACATCTGCAGTAGAGGATACACAGGAAAATGAACAGCTATAAAGAGACAGAATAGCAATTTAATTGGCTCTGACTAATGGTGGACACTGCCCATGTCTGCACTGCAGCAAATGCCTGACGTTGCTGACTCTGGACAGCAGGTCCATGACTACTTGTTTAAGAGGAAGGGTTTTAAAAAGACTACACATTTTCTGGAAAATCTCAGCTTCATCTTTAACTCAAGAGATTTTCCCTCTAAACAGATACTTACTACATGCTCCACAGGTAAAGCATCCATCATGGTAGAGATTCCCCATTGCTTGGCAAGCCTGGTTTGCACCATATACACCTTTGTTGCATTTCACGCAGGTTCCTGAAATAAATTGTTAAAAAGTGACAGGTAAGAAGCACATTCCACAAATAAAGAAAGACAAGCCAAAATAAACAGTACACATTGAAGAAACTGATGGATTGGATTGGTATTGTATTTATAAACATCTTTTCTTCTAGCAGAGGGACCCATTATGATTTGATTTGAAAACCAGCTTGTCATAAAATAGTTCAACATATGCTTCACAAATAAGATAAAAGGTAGAGACAGCAGGGAACAAGCAGGCAAATCTTGAGCAAGTAAAATCACTTTCCTTATCTGAAGCACATTTTCTGTATTTCCACCATTCCTTTAAACCCCAAAACAGTTCAAAGATAAGCCTCTTCTACTTAACATGTGAGCAAGCAAACTGTTACACAAAAATTATTCAAAGGATTAACACAGTTCTAAGAAACAGTAATTTTTCTTTCCACTAAATCGCATGGTTATAATAAATATTTCCTAATATGGCCTTATAAGGACGATGTATTACTTTAGGTGTTCACACTCTTGCTTAGTCTATCACATACCTAAGTACAGTATAACTATTTATCTGTTTTAGGTAAAAAGGCACTGAGTATAAAAAGAGCTACATGGTATAATCAGAAAATCCATGGAAACTCATTTCAATGAAGGGCTTAATTTTATGTACATTGCTCAAGGATTTTGAAATTGACCAATTCTATGAAGACTTACAACACCTTCTTCTAGAACTGACTCATTATAGGGGATTGGAATGCTAAAGTAGGGAGTCAACAGATAAAAGGAACAACAGATAGGTTTGGCCTTGGAGTTCGAAGCTGGGGAAAGGCTAATAGAGTTTTGTCAAGAGAACAAGCTGGTCATCACAAACACTCTTTTCCAACAACACAAGAGACATCACCAGATGGGCAATACCGAAATCAGATTATGTTCTCTGCACCAAAGATGGAGAAGCTCTATAAAGTCACCAAAAACAAGACCTAGAGCTCATTGTGGCTCTGATCATCAGCTTCTTAAAGCAAAGTTCAAGCTTAAACTGAAGAAAGTAGGAAAAACCACTGTGCTAGTCAGGTATAATCGAAACCAAATCTCTTATAAATACACAGTGGAAGTGAAAAACATATTTAAGGAACTAGATTTGGTGGACAGAGTCCCTGAAGAACTATGGATGGAGGTTCATAACATTGTACAAGAGGCAGCAACAAAAACCATCCCAAAGAAAAGGAAATGCAGGAAAGCAAAGTAGCTGTCCAATGAGGCCTTACAAATAGCAGAGAGGAGAAGGGAAACAAAATGCAAGGGAGGTGGGGAAGTTACAGAAAATTGAATGACGACTTCCAAACGATAGCAAGGAGAGACAAGAGGGCCTTCTTAAATGAATAGTGCAAAGATATAGAGGAAAATAATAGAAAAGGAAAAACCAGAGATCTGTTCAAGAAAATTGGAGATATTAAAGGAACATTTTGTGCAAAGATGGACATGATAAATAGCAGGGACCTTACAGAAGCAGAAGACATCAAGAAGAGGTGGCAAGAATACACAGAGGAATTATACCAGGAAGATCTGGATGTCCTGGACAACCCAGATAGTGTCGCTGTTTCAGTAATGTATATATGCTAAAAATTCCAGCTTGTTCTAGGACTATTCTATTTGGACCTTTGTCCTGCCAGGTGATACCAAAAATGTGTAGGAGACAATGCATTCAGCTTCTTCTCCTGTCATGCACAAAGGGTCCAGGATTCAAACTATACTTCTTATGGCTAGGATTTGCTAGATTCCAGCAAGCTGCTGCCACTTACTTATTACTCTTTTGCTGCTCTCAGCAGCGTACATTATTACAATTTTACAGATTGTTAAGCTATACCAAAATGTAAACACACAGAGAGAAAGCAGAAAGAGTGAATCTTGACACTGTAGCAAAGCAAATATATGGTATGCACAAGTTCCAGACATTGATAACCTCATGGTCTTCCTTCCTATCACTGCACCTTTTGTACATTTTTTCACAGAAATCAATAAAAACTTGATCCAACCCATTTTTATTTGTAGAATTTTGTTTATGTGTCATTCTGGTGATGACATCAGTGGTGACAATGAAGGAAAAGATATTCAGGACATATGGAACAGTATGGTAGTGACTAGAGAGCTATCATGGCACTTATTTGAGTTCAAATTCACCATAAAGTTCAAAGCCATGTGTGGCGCCTTTGAGTGACTTGAAAAGCTGGGTTAAAAATATAGCAATCAGAAAAATTAAATTAGTACTTAACTAGTCTGAAACCTACCATCATTTGTTAGGTTAAGCATGTGCTGCTTTTCTCTATTGTTGCTAAATACACTACAATCAAAGAATTTAAAGGTACATCTGAAATGGTGAATGTCATAAGTAGCTGGGATGGGTGGGCTGGAAATACAGTAGTGCCCCACATAGCGACGATAATCCGTTCCGGATAAATCGTCGCTATCCGGATTCGTCACTATACGGGGCAAAAAAAACCATAGGAACGCATTAAATCCTGTTTAATGCATTCGGATGGGGGGGAACTCACCGCTAAGCGGAAATCCTCCATAGGGGGAGCCATTTTCAGTGCCTCTAAAGCGAGGCAACACACCGGGTGGCCATTTTGGAACCGCTGATCAGCTGGCTGAAAATGGGGCCTTTGGGAGGACCGCAGGGGAGGGGTCCACCCCCCGGGGTCCTTCGGAAGCCACCCTCGGCATTTTCCCCCAGCTGAGTGGCGGGAGCTTCGAAGCCCCCGCCGCTCAGCAGGGGAAAATGTCGGTGGTCGGCAGTGAAAGCGAGGCAACACACCGGGTGGCCATTTTGGAACCGCTGATCAGCTGGCTGAAAATGGGGCCTTTGGGAGGACCGCAGGGGAGGGGTCCACCCCCCGGGGTCCTTCGGAAGCCACCCTCGGCATTTTCCCCCAGCTGAGTGGCGGGAGCTTCGAAGCCCCCGCCGCTCAGCAGGGGAAAATGTCGGTGGTCGGCAGTGGCTTCGGAAGGACCCCGAAGCCACCGCCGACCGCCGACATGCCGACATTTGCCTTCCGAGCTCTCAAAGGGCTTTCCCCCCCGACACTGGAGAAAGCCCTTTGGGAGCTCGGAAGGATTTCAGTGGTGGCGGCAGCAGGGTAGCGGGTGTCCGGATGCCTTCCAGGTGAAGCACTGGAAGGCATCCGGAACCCCCACACACACACCCTGCCGCTGCCCCTACTGTTTGAAGTTGCTGGCCGGCAGGCCCTTCGGAGCGGCCGTAGGAGGAGGGTGTT